TTTTGACAGGGATGGTGGGGGAGGCCGCATCGGGTTCGCTGCGCATGCCCCGAATTTGGAAGCACGGTGTGCTTTGTATTGTTGTTTTACAAGGGATGGTGGGGGGACCCTCATTGACTCGAGTTGGTTCCCGGTCGCCGGGGGGGGGTATATTAATAGGGAACAGTGATCAAGACCCCTTCCCCGCGCGCAAGCCGTCTCGCTTACTCCCGCCCGCCCTCCCAACACATACGTAGCACACGAGCCTGGCCCGAGCCGCAGCATATGCAGCAGTCGTCTTTGGATGGGCAGGTAGTGGGGGCGAATCCGCCGCCGCCGCCGCCGCAGCTGTCCGCCGCCGCCGCCACCGCGCCGCCCGCCGCCGCCGCCGCCGCCCCCGCCGCCGCCGCCGCCACCGCCGCCGCCGCCGCCACCGCCGCCGCCACCGCCGCCCCCGCCGCAGCCGCTGCCCCCGCCGCAGCCGCCACAGCCGCCGCCGCCGCCAAGTGTCCTCTGTATTTTTTTGACAGGGATGGTGGGGGGAGGCCGCATCGGGTTCGTTGCGCATGTTCCGAATTTGGAGGCAGAGTGTGTTTTGTATTGTTTTTTACCAGTGGGATGGTGGGGGGGGGTGCCTTCATTGACTCGGGTTGGCTCCCAGTCGCCCGGGGGAGGGGGTGTATACTAAAAGGGAACAGTGATAACCCCCGTCCCCGAAACGGAAGAAGGGAGGTGGAAGAGGAAACGCTCTAGACCACCAGCGCCCAGAAGGCTGGTGGGATCACGCCCCCTGGCCCTCCCTCGTGCGTGCACATGCCTCGGGCCACGGCGTGTCTCGGGACATGACGCGCGCACGCTTCCAGCCGCGCCTCCCCTCTGCCCGCGTTCCCCCCTCCCTCCCCCTTCCATCCAGGGTTTTCATCTCATCTCGCCCCCGGCTCGTCCCCCTCTCGTCCCTCCCCCTCCTCCGCCTCCCTCCCCTCTCCTCTCCTCTCCTCCCACCTCTGCGTTTCCCCATGATCCCTCCCCCTCATCCCTTCGCCCTCCTCGTCCCCGCTCTAACCCTCCCTCCGCCAGGCAAGGGCAAGGGCAAGCCGGGCATCACCATAGTGAACCCCCCTTTCCAGCAGAAGGGCGCCCAGCAGTGGGGCAAGGGTGGCGGCGGCGGCTGGGGCAAGGACGGCGCGAGCCTTGCCGGCGGGATTCCCTTTCCTCCACCTTCCCCCTCCCCGACCGCCATTCCTCCTCCCTCTTTCTCCACCTCGCTCCTCCTCGCTCCTCCACCTCCCTCGTCCTGCTCCTTCCTCCTGCTCCTTTCCTCCTGCTCCCTCCTCCTCCTCCTTTTCCTTATCTCCTCCCTCGCCGCTCCTCTCCTTCCTCCTCTGTCGTCCCTCCCCTCGGTGGCTTACAAGCGCATAAGTGTCACCATCATCACATGGTGCTGGCATGCTCCCGCCAACTCCGTCGCTGTTATCGATACCACCCTCGCACCACTGCGGAATCATCAACGCAGTCAGCACAACTTTGTCATCGTTATCCGTCCATCCCCCTCCCCCCTCCCACCTGCGTATCAAGCTCATCATGACACTGCGCCCTCCCCTGTCAGCATCCTGTTCCTCCCCATCATCCTCATTTTTCCCCGTCATGCTCATTATCTCAATCATCCTCTTCATCGTCCTCCATATCACCGTCGACCTCCACTCATCTTCCGTGTTCCATCCTTCTCTGCCCCCGTGCTCTTCCTTCTGTCGTCTCTTTCTTCATTTGTCTTCATCATTATTCAACTGAACGCCCCTTCGGGCCAGTTACGGCCGTCCAACTTTTTCGAACGTGGTCGCTTTTATGCAACAGTGGCCAGGCGTGATGACCGCGAACAGATTTTGAGAGACATGGTGGAAGAAGGAGAGGGCAACTTTTTGAGGGGTCCACGGCCCTGGAGGGCCCGACAACGTCCACCATCCAGCCAGAAGGGCCCTCAGGGGCCCCGCAAAAAGCCCAGAAGGGCGCGGCACCCAAAGGTGTCGAACATGGCTGGCGAAACCGACAGCGGTAGACGGAGCGAACAGCATGAAGCTGAACATTTCAACGTTGGTCCCTTAGCAGAGCCCCACAGGGGGCCCCTAGGGTCTTCCAAGACGGCTCAAGCCAGACGGCCGAAGATGGCTGCAGGAAGCCTTCGTGATATCCCAGAGTGGCCAGAGAGGCCCCAAGATCGCCACAAGAGGCGCTAAGAGACCTCCAAGAGGCGGAACCATAAGCCCGAGATTGCCCAAATCATCGACATCTCAATGGTTTTTGTATGTTTTTGGCCTTCTTCCGGTTTTCGGCTCAGCCATACTCGAAGGGGGCTCCAGAAGGTCTCGAGACGGCCCGAGAGGGCCCCATCCACGGGCCAACTTCGCCCAAGATGGCCCCGAGAGGCCGAGAGACCTCCAAGACAGCCCGGGAGGGCCCCCTGCGGGGTCCCACACGGCGTCCGGAGGCATCCGGAGGTCTCCCGTGCGAAGACGCGCTTGAGCTGGGGGCCAGGCGGCGGGCTGCGGGCGCCCAGATCGCAGGCGGGGCCCCTCGGGCCGGAGGAGAGAGCAGGCCGCGGGGAGGGCCCCCCGGGGAGGGGCTTCCGGGGCCCTGAGCGGAGGGGTGCATGCGAGAAGTGCGCAGGTCGGAGGAGTGAGCAGCAACAGCCCCTGCAGAGCATGATGCGGGGATCTCACACACTTACCCGGGCTATCTTCAGGCCTGGCGCCTATTGAACCGCGCTCTCGGGCCGCTCTTGGGCCCTCCCGGGGCTCCGTTGGGGCTCTTGCGGGGCCCTCTTGTGAAATCTCGGGGCCCACTCGGGGTTCTCGGAGCCCTCCTGGGCCCGCCGCGGGGGCCCGAGAAGTTCATTGGATCCCGCAGAGGCAAGAATGTCACAGCAGCAGAAGCACTTCGTTGTTCAATCACGCTGGCCATCTTGGGAGCCTCCGAGGGGGATGTTTAGCCATCTTGGGTCGTTGTTGATGTACCCTCGGCTCGGTTAAACCGTCCTGGGCCACCTTGAGGCGAGTTACTGAGGCCATCTTGAGGTATTCTTGGTGCAACTTTGAGGCCTGACACCTGTTGGCCCGCGATCTCTGGGCGCTTTCACCCGCTCTCCGGCCCCAGTTATGCCCGCTGATCCCCCCAGGGCCGGCGCGCTCGGACCAGGTATCTGAACACTCCGACCTGATCCGCCTGTATGGAAGATCTCACATGCCTGTGGCCCGCTGGTCCCGCGAGTTGCCTCATCCCCTCGTCCCTCTCCTTATTCCTCTCGTCCTCCTCTGCCTTGCCCTCCTCGCCCTTCTCCTGGCCCTCCTGCCGCCCCCGCTTCTCCCCCTCGTCCTCCCCGCTCCCCACCGCCTCCTCCGCCCCCCCTCCCTCCCGCTGCGCCGGCACTGTGGAGGACAATAGCGCCTGGGGCAAGGGCTCCTGGGGCAAGGACTCCTGGGGCAAGGACTCCTGGGGCAAGGACTGCCCGGGAAGATCGGAAATCCGCGCGTACATCGGATAGTTCATGTTTCTGCCGTTCTCTCTTCTCCTATGCCCGGGGCACAGGCAAAGATGTTGGAGGAGAGGAGGAGGAGGAGGAGGAGGAGGAGGAGGAGGAGGAGGAGGAGGAGGAGGCGGAGGAGTAGGAGGAGGAGGAGGAGG